TACCATATTGTCTGTCAATTCTACCTAGGCATACATCCAGAGAAAACCGTAATTTGAAAATACTTGGTGGAGATGGAGGTAGGAGGGGGGACCGGGATGGGGAATACATGTTAAAAAAAAAAAAAAAAAAAAAAAGATACACTATGGTTGTGATAAATAAATAAATAAATAAATAAATTTAAAAAAAAAAGAAAATACTTATATGTGGAACCTAAAAAATATGGTGCAAATGAACTTATTTGCAAAACAGAAGTAGAGTCACAGATATAAAAAACAAACTTATGGTTATGATGGAGGTAAAAGGAGGAGGGATAAAGTGGGAGATTGGGATTGACATATACATACTGCTATATATAAAATAGATAAACAATAAGGATCTATTGTATAGCACAGGGAACTCTTCCCAATACTCTGCAATGATGTGTATGGGAAAAGAATCTAAAAAAGAGTGCATATGTGCATGTGCATAACTGATTCATATTGCTGTAGATCTGAAACTACACAACATTGCAAATCAACTACACTCCAATAAAAATTGAAAATAAAAAACCCAGTGATCTGAATTATGAGGATAGGAAGACTGTTGCCGCTCCAATGAAGTCCATTCCTTTTAAATTTTTTTGTTATTTTAATACAATCTTGAAAGGTTATTTTCCATTTCTGGTTATTACAAAATACTGGCCACGTCCCTGTGTTGAACAATATAATCCTGAGCCTGTTTTACACCCCAAAGCGTAAAAATGTCCACTTCTTTCCACTTCTCCCCAGGTACACTGTCCCCCCCCCGGCCCACACTGGCAACCACCAGTTTGTTTTCTCTGCGTCTGAATCTGCTTCCTTTTTGTTACATTCACTAGTTTGTTGTATTTTTTAGATTCCACATATAAATGATATCATAAAGTATTTGTCTTTCGCCATATGACTTCACGTAGCAAGTGCTCTCCCTGTCCATCCATCTGGAACAATTGCAAAATTTCCTTCTTTTAAACGTTCTTTTCTTTTTTTTTAAATTGGAGGATGATTGCTTTACAATATTTGTGATGTCTTCTGCTACACAACAGCATGAATTAGTTATAACCATATATATATCACCTCCCTCTTGAGCCCCCCTCTCACACTCCCCATTCCACCCATCTAGGTTCTCACAGAGCACCAGACGGGACTCCTGTTATACTGCAGCTTCTCCTAGCTATCTATTTTACACATGGCAGGTTATATGTAAATACTACTTTCTCATTCACCCGACACTCTCCTTCTACCCCTGTGTCCACAAATCTGTTCTCTACATCTGCATCTCTATTCCTGCCCTCAAATTGATTCATCGAATAGTACCGTTTTTCTAGATTCCATATATTTACATTAGTATACAATATTTGATTTCATTTTTCTGACTTCACTCTGTATAACAAGCTTTAGGATCAAGTGTTTTGCCGGGGTCCAGCCCCGGCGGAGTCTAGGGCTTCCCTTCGGATGAGCGGCGTCCGCGAAGAAAAGGAAGCAAGTCGAGTCTTGGTTGAGTGCAGAATCAAGACTACTTTATTCTTTTACATCAGTGCTTATATACCCTAAAACCAGTAATCCTTTATAGAGGGTTAAGGAGGGGGGAATGATAAGATTGTACCAGGTGCAGCAGCTAGTCAACTGTGAAAAGTCATCTACAAACCTTATCTTGGGAAGCTCAGCCCCGGGCGGATTTAGCTCTGGTATGTAATCCTAAGGGTGAGAGGTCTCATGAATTCCCTTCTGATCACACCCTAAGGAATCTTCTCAATCTCGTAATGGACTCTTAATCTACTTTTACTTATGGGATAGATAGGCCTGTTGCTAGCAGACTTGGTTTGTAGAAGGGGTTTTGTGCAATCATGAGCATTCCAGATTCTAAATTGGCAATCATAATTCTAACAGAGCCAGAAGAGGCAGGATATTTTGTGTAATATTTTCCTTACTTCCGGCCTGTTTATTGGGATCCATGTGCCCCCAGGGACTGTGTTGCTGCTATGCAAAGGTTTCAAGAAGGGATTTTAGGTAAGAGTCAGACTAGTTTTTAGGGAACATAGAAGAACGCCAAGCATCAGAAGATGAAAGGACGAAGGCCTGGGAGTGGATGGTGGGGCGGTCCGGAGAAACCCTGGCAGGTCCGGACGCCTTTGCGTGCCAGCTCCTTCAACCCAGACCTGTCACCTGCAGGGTTTCTCTCGCCGACTCCCGACAGTACTTCACATTTGTTCCTTTTTATGGTTGAATAACATTCCATTGTATATATGTACCGCAACTTCTTTATTCATTCATCTGTCGATGGACATCCAAGTTTCTTCCATGTGCTGGCTATTGGAAATAGTGCTGCAATGAACATTTAGTTACATGTCTTTTTTGAGTTATGGTTTTATCAAGGTATACACCCAGTAGTGGGATTCCTGGGTCATAGCTTTATTCCTAGTTAGTTAAGGCATCTCCATACTGTTCTCCATAGTGGTTGTATCAATTTGCCTTCCCAACAACAGTGCAAGATGGTTTCCTTTTCCCTACAGACTCACCAGCATTTATTATTTGTAGATTTTTTGATGATAGTCATTCTCACTGTGTGAGGTGATACCTCATGGTACTTTTGATTTGCATTTCTCTAATAATGAGTGATGCTGAGTATCCTTTCATGTGTTTGTTGGTCATCTGTATGTTTTCTTTGGAGAAATATCTATTGAGGTGTTCTGCCCATTTTTTGATTTGGTTGTTGTTTTTCTGATATTGAATTGCATGAGCTCTTATATATTTTGGAGATTAATCCTTTGTCAGTTGCTTCATTTGCAACTTTCTCTTGTTCTGAGAGCTGTCTTTTCATTGTGCTTCAAGTTTCTTTTGTTGTACAAAAGCTTTTAAGTTTAGGTCCAGTTTGTTTATTTTTGTTTTTATTTCCATTACTCTGGGAGGTGGGTCATAAAGGATTTTGTGATTTATGTCAAAGAGTGTTCTACCTATGATTTCCTCTAACATTTTTATAGTTTCTGGCCTTGCATTTAGGTCTTTAATCCATTTTGATTTTATCAGTAGTATTCATATATGTATGTATTCCTATATATATATATATATATATATAGACTCACATACCATTTGCATGCTATACATTCATTTGTTGATGTACCATTAGGTTGTTTCTATATCTCAGCAATTGTAAATAATGCTAACATGAACATTGGGATGCCTGTACCTTTTAAAATTAGTGTTTTTATTTTCTTCAAATATATACCCAGCAGTGGAATTGCTGGGTCAGATAATAGCTTTATTTATTTATTTATTTATTTAGAGAAATATTCACACTATTTTCCATGGTGACTGCTTCAACTTACATTCCCACTAACAGTGTATAAATGCTCCCTTTTCTCCACATCCTCATCAACGCTTGTTATTTGTGTTCATTTTGATGATAGCCATTCTGAGATGTATGAGGTAATATCTCATCATGTTTTTTATTTGAATTTCCTTGATTATTAGCAATGTTGAACTATTCATGTGTTTGTTGGCCATCTGCATTTCTTCTTTGGAAAAATGTCTTTTCAGGTCTTCTGCCCTTTTTAAAAAACTGGTTGGTTGTTTTTATTTTTCTTTTGCTATTAAGTTGTACGAACTGTTTATATTTGCTGGATATTAATCCCTTATCAGCCATATAATTTACAGATATTTTCTCCCATTCAATATGTTATCTTTCCACTTAGTCAATAGTTTCCTTTGTTGTGAAAAGCTTTCAAGTTTAATCATGTTTGCTTTTATTTCTTTACTTTAGGGCACCAAAAAAGATGGTTAAAAAGGGCCGTTAGAATTTTTGATAGACATTGCACTTAATCTGTAGATCACTTTCAATAATATGAACATTTTATAATACTAAATATTTCTAATCCATATGAGGCATGTTGTTTCATTTAATTTTGTCTTGCTCAAATTCTTTCATTAATATTTTATAATTTTCAGTGTATAAGTCTTCCATCTCCTTGGTTAACTTTATTTCTTATATTTTTATTGCTTTTATAACTGGAATTCTTTCTGGATTTCCTTTTTGAATAGTTTGTTGTTAATTATAAAAATGCAGAAGCTTTTATTCTTATATAATAAAAATAAATGTTAAAAACTAATTATCTAGCAAACCATATCCACTAACAGATTAAAAGGATTATACACCATGATCACAGTGGGATTTACCCTGAAATGCAAAGATTCTTCAATATCTGCAAATTAATGTAAAACAGCACATTAACAAACTGAAGAATAAAAAACATGATCATGTCCCTAGATGTAGAAAAAGCTTTTGCCAAAATTCAATACCCATTTATGGTTAAAAACTCTCAAGGAAGTGGGAATATAGGGAAACTACCTCAAATAATATAGGTCAAACCCATACTAACATCATTTGTAGTCATGAAAAGTTTAAAATGTTTCAAATTCAGGAACAAAGTAAGATCGACAAAGCAATCTTCAGATAGAAAAACAAAAACGAAGGCATCATACTTGCTGATTTTAAAATATATTACAAAGCTATAGTAAATTAAAACAGTATGTTGCCAGCATAAAATATATGCCAGATATATAGATATATGTAACAGAATAGAGGAACCATGTATTTCCCCATTTGTGGTTCCAAAGAGATTCCCCATTTCCTCTGTGAGGTCATGGCCATCCTGAAACTGGCCTGTGACGACATCTCTGCCTATGGGAAGGCTGTGGTGATGACAAGCATCATAGTGCTCCTCATCCCCTTGTCCCTCATCATGTCCTCTTATGCTCTCATCTTCCTTGCTATCCTCTATACAAACTCTCCTGAGGGCAGGAACAAAGCCCTGGCCACCGGTTCCTCCCACCTGACTGTGGTGATTATCTATTTTGGTCCAGCCATACTGGTCTACATGAAGCCTAATTCTCACTACAGTCCCAAGCTGGACCAGGTTCTTTTTATGTGTGGTGCCATCCTCACTCCTATGATGAACCCCCTCATATACAGTCTGAGGAACAAGGAGGTGGTGTGTGCTTGGCAAACGGTGTTGGGATGCTGCCTAACCTCAGTTTAGATACAAACACATGATGGATGTTGATCACTAGCTCTATTTCATTCTAAAACAGTGCTGCTTAGATTCCATTTCAGCCCTGGTCTTTTCATACTTGAAATTGCAAAGGGATCATTGACTCCATGGGTTCAGTTCATATATACATAAAACTGGTGACCCGTGTTTATCCTCTTCATGCTTCTTTGAGAATTTTAGGCCCACATCCTCAAATTGGGCACTCTAGGACTGATGATGATGATGGTGGTAATGGTGATAGCGGTAGTGATGAGAATAGTGTTGGTATTGGCAGTGGTGAGTAGTGATGGTGGCAATAATGATGGTGGTAAATGGTGTAATTGGAGTGATGGTAGCTGAGGTGGTAGATGTAGTGATGGTAAGGATGATGAAGTTTCACCAAGAAAACTGGATCAATGATGCTTTTTTCAACTACAAAGGAAATGTGAATCTATTATAGTCTTTGAAAGAGGCCAACCATGACTGAAAGTCCTGAAATGCTTCAGTTTATAGAAGACCCTTGTGCTGCGCTGTGCCTAGTTGCTCAGTCAGGTCCGACTCTGTGACCACAAGGACTGTAGCCTGCCAGGCTCCTCTGTCCATGGGGATTTTCCAGGAAAGAGTACTGGAGTGGGTTGCCATTGCCATCTCTGAAAAAAGACCCTTAAGTGATGATAAAAACTAAGTTGAGTACTTGGTGTCAAATCTTTAAAATTGAAGGGGCTAAAAACAGACCTAAACAAAAATCCAATTAAATCACTCTATTTTAATCTTATAATAAACTATAATTTCAATAAAAAAATTGCCACCTTCCACACGTTCAAATATTACCACATGTCTGAACATACCTTATAAAAAAAGAGCCAAAAGTAAAATGTTTATATTAACAAGATAGAAAAGTTTTGCAAAAATATACAAAAACACACACTCTGGTTTTCCTTCCTATAATTTTTCAGGTGAAATCAATCAAGGCTAAACTATGAGGCAAGGAAATAAAAGTTAACACAAGGCTTCATTTTCTAGAACTATTCTCTAGAACTTTCTTGCTACCTCACTTCCACTCACCTTCTTTCCTGGTTGATTGCCCCTGAAACACAGATCTGATTTTCCTTCATGCATTCTGCACCTTCTTCCCTGCCCTGCTTCATCCACCAACATCCCCAAGAGCCTCCAGCTTCTAAAGAATAAGAAAGCACTCAAAAGGGCTGTGGAGCACATATTTTTCTTCATTGACATCTTATTTGCTGAATGTTTCCTCTTCTGTGTCTTCTGATCTGTGGCTGTCACCTTTCCAAGGGTCTGGGTGAAATGCTTGCTGAGTGCTGGGTTAGGTGGCTTGTTTTTTCTAAACCTTATTGTTTGTGCCATATATTCCACTACCAGTGTTCTGGAGCTGGTTCATACCGACTCACAAGAGCTAACTGTTAAATCTTAAATAATTCTGCAAGTTGGCTGTTAAAAACATTGATAGCATGGTGGAGGTATTCAGACCATGGCAGCTGAAAAAGACTATCAACTAAGGCTTTTTATTTTTTTTTTTGTCTTAAGAATATTTTTTTTGAGAGCTAATTTACCAACACATCACTGTCTCCACCTACATCTTGAAGAAGAGAGTCATTACTTCTTCTGTGAAATCATTGCCTTCCTGAAATTTACTTCTGAATTTCAATAGACATAGTTTTTGGATTTCAGGTTTTTTTTTAACTTATCCTTTTTATAACTTACCCTCCCTAATCCCTATAAGTACTCCTCCCAAGTGCTGAGCCCCTACTCTTGTGCTGCCACTGTTACATCTACGACCCCAGAGATGACTCATGTACACAGGGAAAAACAACTTATTTTTCCCTTTGATTCACTGCACACCAACATCCCTTATTTATCATTTAAGAAACAAGGACAGTTGTTCTATCATTCAAGAAATAAGTGAGAGGGTAACAGGAAGGAAGGCCAGGGGTCTCCAAACAGAGGAAATAGGCTGCAAGTGTCAGATATCTTTTTCTTTCTCTCAAGTGGCAGGAGGAAACTAGTGATACATTTTTTTTCCTCCTTCTCTATACAAATTTAAAAAGAGGTTCTCTTAAAATACTGTGTTGCCATAATGACACCTGGTTCCACCTGAACTTAACTATTTTCAAACCTTGAGTTAACCAATGCATTTTTCTTATGGAAATGTTTGTCTTAAGCTATGTTAATACACTACGCATTTATCCTAGCCTCTGTCTTCAAGCTGGTTCTGCCTAATGACTCAGAATTGACTTGACAAATCAGTATGTTATACTCAGACATTGTTTCTCTAATCTATGTAAGCGAAACTATTTGTATGGTAATCTGCCTTTCTAGAAGATTCAAGTCAATCCTTTTATGGCCTGGAATGACTCGTCTGGTGCCAAGATTATCCCAAAATACATCTTATGGATGAGGGACCTGGTGCCATTGTCTGAGTTTTAAGACATTCCTTTCTTTCCTTAACAGACTGCTAGTAACTATATAACATCAGCTAAAAACTAACAGGGGGGTATTCTTTTTGCCCTCTTCTGATGTCTATGTCAGAAGCTTTCTCTATCTCCTTTATACACTTTATTACACAAAAGCTCTGAGCGATCAAGCCTTGTCCCTGGCCCCCGATTGAATTCTTCTCCTCCAGAGGCCAAGAATCCCAGCGCCTTTTCGTGGCTCAGCAACAACCTTTCACAAGGACAGTTCTTCTATCATTCAAGAACAGTTCTGAAGAGTATTAACATTCAACAAGGACAGTTTTGAAGAGTATTAAGATATTTAAACAAAACATTTGATGAAAACTGAACTGACATTCCCAAGAAGCTCAAATATTCCCGAGCAATAGGAAGAAATAGGAAGAAAACTACAAAGAACAGCATAATAAAATTGCTAAAAATCAGTGATAAAGAGACAGTCTTAAAGCACTTGGAGAGAAAAAGACACATTATATACAGAACCAAGAGAAAAAGAATTACAAGAGACTTACCAAAAAAAAAAAAAAAACAATGCAAGCCAGGAGACAATGAACAGGTACCTTCAGAGTACAGAAAGAAAAACTTGTTTATGCAGCATAACAAGTTTTCAAAATTAATATTAGTAAAAATGCCAGAGTAAGGACTTCTGAAAATAAATTTCATACCCATAAAAGCAATGAAAACACTGGACATTTTTCCAGAATCAACTTTTTCAGACTTCTGAAAATTAAACAAAGGCTTTCAGCAATCTGGAGAGGATTTACTTGAGAAAAATGGCTGAAACTTACTAAATCGGTGAGTTTTATGGACTTTTAACTCATCTATTCTTATTGTTCCCTCTCCTGTTTAGCTATAACCTTGAAAAACAGCAGCCTGAAGTGGAAAAAACAGGAGCAGGGCAATAACTGGAATGGCAAGTCAGGAATGGATCTCCTTCAAAGACTAATCCCCAGAGAATTATCATGTACTCTGCTGATTCCCTGGAAGATCCCCACTAGCAAAACCATCTATATTTGATCTGATTCAGCACTCATCCAGTACACATAGGCCCCATAGGCATTTTGAGAAAAACAATCAAAGGCGACTGTTGGAACATAGTGACCGCCAAAGGCAATACATACTATTTGGGCAAAAATTGGTTAACCAAAAGGCTTAAAAAGAAAACTTGGGGAATGAGATATCTGTAGCAGACTCTGAAAAGCTTTCACACATTCCTGGGATTCTTGAAGGCCGTGTGCTTTCATAGGATTGTGTACTCTGCCAGAGATGTGTGCTTACTCAGGAATACCTGAGAAGCTCTAAGCACTCACTTCTGGTTAACAGGGAGGCTCAACACAAGCTGGAAGTGAAGGCTGAGGTGAAACTGTACACTGCCTGACTGAATGCTGAAGGCAGGTCCCAACATGCAAACTAAGGTCCACAACAAAGACTGGGAGACTTATTGGAAGAGGGAAAATGAGTTGTTCAACTGATACAGAATTTCAGTTCTACAGATCTTTTGCACAACAGTGTGAACATAATTAACACTACTAAACTATATATACTTAAAAACAGTGAAGATAGAAAAGTTTATGTGTTTTACATTTGTTATTTTATAAAGACATAATTGTCTGGTAATCAATGAAGTCTTAGGACAAAGTCATTTTCATTGTTCATTAGAAGAACTTCAATGTTATACATGTTTTCATAGTCTGGTATGCTGTTTATTTTTTGTTTTTGTTTTTTTTTAATTTTGTCCAGCTTCTTAACAACTGGAAGGATTTTGAAATGCCATTCAGAATAACCAGGACAACTTTCATAACCTTTCCAGTTAAAAGATTCATGAATGGTTCTGCTAGAGTAGACAAGGTGACATTCTGTTCAAGTGCTTCCCTACTTGTAGGATTGGTGACCAACCATAGTTTCATTTTGTACCCTAAATTCCTTTGGGAATATGCCAACAAGGAATGTCATCTGGCCTTGACTACAAGTTGTGATACTTGTTATTGTCTACACAGATTCTACTGTATTAGTTCTGGCATCATTCAGTGGCCTGGAATAGCCTGCACATGTTCCTACATCAGTTACAACTTGAGACTATCCATCAGTCTCAGAGCCAATTTTTCCTTTAGCTCTTAAGAAAGTGTTAGTCGCTTAGCTGTGTGTGACTCTGCGACCCAGGGGACGATAGCTTGCCAGGTTCCTCTGCCCATGGAATTCTCCAGGCAAGAATACTGATGTGGGTAGCCATTCCCTGCTCCAGGGGAGCTTCCTGACTCAGGGTTTGAAGATGAGTCTCCTGCCTTGCAGGCAGATTCTTTCCCATCTAAGCTACCACAGAAGTCACAATTGGCCATTCTGTAGCTTCTGAAAGCTTTACAAACTGTTTTCACAACCAATCAATTAATTCAGTTGGATGATTAGTTAGGTAAAAAATACCTGGTAAGTAAATGCTAAAATCTCAGGAACATCATGACACAAGAGACGAAAACTGAAAAGTAAAATTTGATCAACAAACTTCTTAAGACAAATGCTTTTAAGTGTCCAGGCTAGATTCTA